TATTACTCAGCCATTAAAAAGAATTCATTTGAATCAGTTCTAATGAGATGGATGAAACTGGAGCCCATTATACAGAGTGAAGTAAGCCAGAAAGATAAAGACCATTACAGTATACTAACACAAATATATGGAATTTAGAAAGATGGTAACGATAACCCTATATGCAAAACAGAAAAAGAGACACAGATGTACAGAACAGACTTTTGGATTCTGTGGGAGAAGGCGAGGGTGGGATGTTTCAAGAGATCAGCATCGAAACCTGTATATTATCTAGGGTGAAACAGATCACCAGCCCAGGCTGGATGCATGAGACAAGTGCTCGGGCCTGGTGCACTGGAAAGACCCAGAGGGATCAGTTAGAGAGGGAGGTGGGAGGGGGGATCGGGATGGGGAATACATGTAAATGCACGGCTGATTCATGTCAGTGTATGGCAAAAACCACTACAATACTGTAAAGTAATTAGCCTCCAACTAACAAAAATAAATGGAAAAAAAAAAAATTGTAAGGTTAGTCCACTGAAAAAAATGCCCACAACAGAACGCTGAATAAAATGGAAAAAATTACAGCAGTTTGTAGATTAATTTGAATACAGCTAGGAAACAAAAACATAAAAGGAATAACAAAAAATCACAGCAAAGTAAAAAACGCATAGGGTCACTTTCAATAGAATAATAGTGAGAAAAAGTTGAAAAAATGAGTTAAAACCAAATTCTGGAAGGTACCAAGGTTCTGACTACTAATCTTTACCCTTTATAAAATATGAATCCAAAATAAAGAGAATAAAGTATGAAAACAACAATAGGGAAGAGTATTGTAGATGAAGAATACAGAACATAGTCGGTGAAAAAGAAAAAAATCTTATACTCATAACTACCGTATATCATGGAGAAGGCAATGGCAACCCACTCCAGTACTCTTGCCTGGAAAATACCATGGACGCAGAAGCCTGGTAGGCTGCAGTCCATGGGGTCACTAAGAGTCAGACAGGACTGAGCAACATCACTTTCACACACTGGAGAAGGAAATGGCAACCCACTCCAGCGTTCTTGCCTGGAGAATCCCAGGGATGGGGGAGTCTGGTGGGCTGCCATCTATGGGGTCGCACAGAGTTGGACACGACTGAAGCGAATTAGCAGCAGCAGCAGTGTATATCGAAATCAAATGACTACATTTTGTTCACAATAAATATTGAAGATTTTATTCATATTAAGTAAAAGCTGGAAAAATAAACTTTTGCATGAAAAAAGAAAGCAAAATAATGAAGTGCAATTTTAAAATTTAATTTCCTTGATTTTCTGCTTGTGTCTCTACCTACGGATGAGAGGCAATAAATAGATTTCGATTAGTATTTCTATAGCCTGTTAACAATTTTTCTATTGCAGTTCGTATCTGCAATGGAAACTATCAAGCTTAATGGCTAAAAATCACTTAATATACTTGAAAATTATACTTATATATTTTAATGTTGTCCATTGCTTTGAATAACTGAGAATTCAATATTTCTTTCACCATTTAGCATCATCCCACCATTCCAACACTGTCCCCTTCCCATGCAAATTCCAAGATTCCTGAACAAATCAATCTGGTAATATACACTAAAGCCCTGTAAGGAATTCAAAAAGAAATACATATAAAAAATAAAAAAATATACTAATGAAAAGTTGCCTGCTTTTGGTTCTAAAAGTAAATCTGTTTCATAAAGTACCCAACTTTCACACTTAAATTGAAAATGAAGTATCAAAAATGAGCAAATACAAAATTGAAAGATTTAACATACAATCATTTGTAATTAAAAAATGGAAATTAAAATAATGAATTACAGGCTTTATCTATATTTCCAAGTAATTATTAAATATAATATATCCAATTGCTAGCTACACTTCTGGTGAAAGATAAACTAGTACAAATTCTGGAGAATAAAATGGTATTTATTACTACATAGTTAAGAAATATTCTTAAAATAACTTTACCTCTAGTCCTTTAAAATGAAAAGAAGATGTAAGGAACTAAATACAAATGATGCATAAAGTTGAAAATATTCTAAAAGTGTAAACACAGACTAAAGGAATCATAATACTTATAGTTTATCCTTAAAATGAATTAGTCAGAAGCCAATAAAGATGTGCTCTTTGAGACTATTTAATGACACCTGTTGAGTGAATGAGGGCAGAAAAAACAGCATAAGAAGTTATAAAAGATCACACAAACACAAATATCCATAAAATATTAACTGTGGTTATTTCTATTTCACTACTTAAGCATTTTTTTACACCCTTTCTTCTTTCAAATATTCTTCAATACACATGTTAGTTACATTAAGTCAAATTCTAAAAATACACACATGATTGAGGCAATACAAATTCTCAAGCAGTTCCTACTATATGCAAATTATTTTATTAAACATAATGCAATCTAAAATTTGTAATGTTAACTTACTATTAAACAATATGCCTTTCCTTACACTTTTCCAAAACAAGCAAAGAAAAACCTTTACTAAACTTGACTACACAATCAACAATTGTATAAAAATGTCAAAATGCACACTTAACAGGTTTTACATTTAATTGACTCTATATTGCTTTATTAGTAAGATAGAAACACTTAAAATTTACCTGCATTGCACTTTTCCCCAGTTTCACCACTTCAAATAATGTGACAGGCTCCCCTTCACCATTTTGTTGAGGGTGCCCATTAGCTCTTCCACGGCCTGTTCCTCTAACCCCAGCTTCAATTCTACTCTTCTCTCCTGGTGATTTTCGAGGTTTCTTATTTGTAGACTGAATAAAAAAAAGAGGAAAAGCAAAATTAAATGCAGGTATACTTGCCTTACAGAGAGTGATCTCAAATTATGTTTGAGCCTGTGAAAGGGAAGTTAGCACTGTTATAGGTAAGAGGTAATTTCAAAAGAAGCTTTACAATGTTTGTAATGATTTTTTAAAAAGTGCAAACAGCAAAGTACAAGTTAATTTATACAAGGTATGAAAAGAAAAAGATTTACTATTTTGTACAATAATGACAATGCTGTAACCCTGTCCCCAAACACGACCCCATCTTGACATGTTCTTAATTACCAACCTCAAGACTAGACTTCCTCAGAAATCATGTTCAACAAAATGCTACTTGGACAACTTGGCATGTTCAACTTCTCCTTCAACTTAAGTACTAAAATATTTCTTATTCAGTCATGCAACAAATATATATTGACAATTTTTGGAACCATCCCAAGTACTAAAAATACAGCAAATATTTTGGCCTTCAAGTTTTTTTTTCAGTCAGTTCAGTTCAGTCTCTCAGTCATGTCCGACTCTTTGCCACCACATGGACTGCAGCACGATAGGTTTCCCTGTCAATCACCAACTCCCGGAGCTTGCTCTAACACGTCCATTGAGTCAGTGATGCCATCCAACCATCTCATCCTCTGTTGTCACCTTCTTCTCCCCCCTTCAATCTTTCCCAGCATTAGGGTCTTTCCAGTGAGTCATTTCTTCTCATCAGATGGCCAAAGTATTGGAGTTTCAGCTTCACATCAATCCTTCCAATGAACATTTAGCACTGATTTCCTTTAAGATTGACTGGTTTGATATCCCTGCTGTCCAAGGGACTCTCAAGAGTCTTTTCCAACCCCACAGTTCAAAAATATCAGTTCTTTGGCACTCAGCTTTATGGTGCAACTCGCACATTCATACATGACTGTAGGAAAAGCCATAGCTTTGACTAGACAGACCTTTGTTGGCAAAATAGTGTCTCTGTTTTCTAATATGTTATCTAGGTTTGTCACAGCTTTCCTTCAAAGGGGCAAGCATCTTTTAATTTCATAATGCAGTCACCATTTGCAGTGATTTTGGAGACCAAAAAATAAAGCCGCTCACTGTTTCCATTGTTTCCCCATGTATTTGCCATGAAGTGATGGGACCAGATGCCATGATCTTAGTTTACTGAATGCTGAGTTTTAATCCAGCTTTTTCACTCTCCTCTTTCACTTTCATCAGAAAGCTCTTTAGTTCCTCTTCGCTTTCTGCCATAAGGGTGGTTATCAACTGCATATCTGAGATTAATAATACTTCTCCCAGGAAACTTGATTCCAGCTTGTAGTTCATCCAGCCCGGTATTTCTCATTATGTACTCTGCAGAGAAGTTAAGTAAGCAGGGTGACAACAGACAGCCCTGACGTACTCCTTTCCCAATTTAGAACCAGTCCGTGATTTCATATATGATTCTAACTGTTGCTTCTTGACCTGCATATGGATTTCTCAGAAGGCAGGTAAGGTGGTCTGGTATTCCCATCTCTTTAAGAATTTTCCACAGTTTGCTGTGATGTACACAGTCACACCATTTGGAACAGTCAATAAAGCAAAGTTTTGCTGGAATTCTCTTGCTTTTTCAATGATCCAATGTATGTTGGCAATTTGATCTCTGGTTCCTCTGCCTTTTCTAAATCCAGCTTGAACATCTGTACTGTTCTTTTACTGTTGAACCCTAGCCTGGAGAATTTGGAGCATTACTTTGCTAGAGTGTAAGATGAGCGCAATTGTGCAGTAGTTTGAACTTTTTCGGCATTACTTTTCTCTGGGATTGGGATGAAAACTGACATTTTCCATTCCGTGGCCATTCTGAATTTTCCACATTTGCTGGCATATTGAGTGCAGCACTTTAACAGCATCATCTTTTAGGATTTGAAATAGCTCAGCTGGAATTCCATCATCTCCACTAACATTGTTCCTAGTGATGCTTCTTAAGGCCCACTTGGCTTCACATTTCAGGATGTCTGGCTCGAGGTGAGTGATCATATCATCATGGTTATCTGGGTCATTAACATCTTTCTGTATAGTTCTTCTGTGTATTCTTGCCACCAAATCTTAGTATAGTCTGCTTCTATTAGGTCCATACCATTTCTCTCCTTTATTGTGCCCATCTTTGCAAGAAATGTTCCCTCAGTATCTCTAATCTTCAAGAGATCTCTAGTCTTTCCCATTCTATTGTCTTCCTCTATTTCTCTGCATTGATCACTATGGAAGGCTTTCTTATATCTCCTTGCTGTTTTTGGAACTCTGCATTCAGATGGACGTATCTTTCCTTTTCTCCTTTGCCTTTTGTTTCTCTTCTTTTCTCAGCTATTTCAAAGGCCTCCTCAGACAACCATCTTGCCTTTCTATATTTCTTTTTCTTGGGGATGGTTTTGATAAATACCTCCTGAATAATGTCACAAACCATCGTCCATAGTTCTTCAGGCACTCTGTCTATCAGATCTAATCCCCTGAATTTATTTGTCCCTTCCATTGTATAATCTGAAGGGATTTGATTTAGGTCATACCTGAATGGCCTACTGGTTTTCCCTACTTTCTTCAATTTAAGTCTGAATTTGGCAATAAGGAGTTCATGATCTGAACCACAGTCAGCTCCTGGTCTTCTTTTTGCTGACTGTATAGAGCTTCTCCAGCTTTCGCTGCAAAGAATATAATCAATCTGATTTGGGTGTTGACCATTTGGTGATGTCCACATGTAGATTCAGCTCTTGTCTTGTTGCAAGAGGGTGGTTGCTATGACCAGTGCATTCTCTTGGCAAAACTCTTGTTAGTTTTTGCCCTGCTTCATTTTGTTCTCCAAGGCCAAACTTGCCTGTTACTCCAGGTATCTCTTGACTTTCTACTTTTGCATTCCAGTCTGCTATGATGAAAAGGACATCTTTTTTGGGTGTTAGTTCTAGAAGATCTTGTAGGACTTCATAGAACCATTCAACCTCAGCTTCTTCAGCATTACTGGTTGGGCTACAGACTTGGGTTACTGTGACACTGAATGGTTTGCCATGGAAACCAACAAAGATCATTCTGTTGTTTTTGAGATTGCACCTAAGTACTGCATTTCAGACTCCTCTGTTGACTATATGATGGCTACTCCATTTCTTCTAAGGGATTCTTGCCCATAGTAGTAGATATAATGGTCATCTGAGTTAAATTTGCCCATTCTGGTCCATTTTAAGTTCCCTGATTTCTAAAATGTCAATGTTCACTCTTTCCATCTCCTGTCTGATCACTTCCAATTTACTTTGATTCACGGACCTAACATTCCAGGTGTCTGTGCAACACTGTTCTTTACAGCATCATACTTTACTTCCATTACCAGTCGGTCCACAACTGGGTTTTTTCTCTGCTTTGGCTCTGTCTCTTCATTCTTTCTGGAGTATTGCTCTACTCTTCTCCAGTAGCATATTGGGCACCTACTGACCTGGGGAGTTCATCTTCCAGTGTCCTATCTTTTTGCCTTTTCATACTGTTCATGGGCTTCTCGAGGCAAGAATACTGAAGTGATTTATCATTCAGTTCTGTAGTGGACCACATTTTGCCACAACTCTCCACCATGACCTGTCCAACTTGGGTGGCCCTACAGGGCATGGCTCATAGTTTCATTGAGTTAGACAAGGCACATTCTTCAATTAACAACCCATCCCATGCCCCCAACTTACAAAGAAAAGTCAACACCTGCTATCACCTTGTCTATGTCTCACCTTTAGAGTCAAGATAGAGTAGCTTGCAGTCACCATTCTTGTTATCATTCCCGTAAATTTCACTTATATATAAACTCATTAGAGTTCCTGACCAAACTCACCAGTAAAATTAATGTTGCTAAATGGACATTTTTTTGCAACTCTCCCGGCAAGCCACATTATCCCTATGTGTTTCAGATATCTCTTCCCTCCCTATATTCCTTACCCGTCAGGTCTCTGCTAAGCATTTTCTCAATCTTTATACGCTTTCTTGAGTGGTTTAGTTCTTTCTCATACCAGTCTGTTATGGTTATCAATTTACTGTTCTCCAAATGTACTCTATTTTGCCCCACTTTGTGACGCTGGAACTGGATTCAGTAAACATTTCTCTTGTCCTATGCTGCAGTGGTAACTAAAATGCCCTGGAGGAACACTACAAAGCACAGCATACTGAGGCTTCTCTTCCTGCTCACAGGACACACTCCCGTCATTCTCTATTCTTGTATTCTTCAAAGTACTCTCTCACTCCTCTTGATATTATAGTTAATAGCCTGACCTCTATTTGTGTGTGTGGATTAATACATAATACATTTACTGCTTATTTTTAAATAAAGTAATTTTAGAACAGTGTTAGCTATACAAAAAATAAAGTTGTGAAGATAGTAAAAGGAACCCCCGCATATATCATATATGATTAGATCAATTATTAACCTTATTATTTGTATGATACATCTGTTACAATTAATGAACCACTATAGACACATTAACAAAAGTCCATATTTAATTCAGATTTTCCTAGTTTTTGTTTAATGATCTGCTCTAGAAGCCCACCCAAGGGCTCTTCAACATATTCACATCATGTCTCCCTAAGCTCCTCTGGGCTGCAACAGTTTTTATTCTTTCCTGGTTTATGGTGACCTTGAGATTTTTAAGGAATTTTGGACAAGTATTTTATATTGTACAGGTATTTCATATAATGTTCCTCAACTGGGTTTGTCTGATGTTTTTCTCATGACCAAACTGGAATTATGGGTTTGGAAAGGAAGATATGAGAGATAAAGTGTCATTTTTGTCACTTCACATCAAGGGTATAGTCTAACACATGACTTATCATTCTTAATGCTGACCTGTTAATCAGTTGGCAGAGGTGATACTTGTCAGGTTTTCCACTGTCAAGTTACTTTTACTCTCCTCTCCATATTTCACCATTTAGAAGAAAGTCACTATGTGCATTCCACATTGAAGGGGTGAAGAGCTATGCTCCACCTCCTTGGAGGTTGAGCATTTATACATACT